CTCATCACATTGTCTTCGACATTTGCGACGAGAGCATCAAGCTAACCAGCTTCAGAATTTCTTGATATGCACTTACATCACCAGCGCATTGCGCTTTGTGCTCATGACTGCCACAGGTAGCTTCGCAGCTCTGCGATATCACTGGTAAGCACACCCCCCCTCCACCTCCCCTCGTCCAATGATGATCAGATTGTGCTACGGCACGCTGGAAATTACCGACCAAGGCTTCTGCCGGTGCCGATAAACAATGGCTGTTTCTGATTTTGACCTTCAACTCACTGCTCTTCTCAACATCGCTTGTAGCTCTCGCTAACATCTCGCGCGTTGCAGATACTATCATTCCGCGCCCCAAATGGTACGATTTCTCCCTCTCGAACCCTCCTCGAACACCATATGATGATTCCGCACTGGGCACCGACAATTCGTGACGGATACGCTCATTATGGCAGGCCTCAGAAACCTCGCCGACTGACCTCGCTCGCCAACACTGCACATTCATACAAGCGTCGTAGAGCTTCGGCTAACAACGCAATCAGTCTGTTCTCCAACAACAGTCTGTAACATCCTCAATGGTAAGCACACTCCTCTTGCTCACCTTCCGGGAAATGATGAACACTTGATGACGAGTCCGACGGGTTCGCCCGGTGAAGACTTAAATCAAAATATCCATTCATGTCAACTGATCCCACTTCAATGCATACTATTTGCTTTCTCTTCACTGGTAGAAGCTTTTGCTAACTTGCCACCCAGATCCATCAGTGCTTGCCTCACTACAATCGGTACGCTCGCCGCCTATCTCCTTCCTCGATATGATGATACGACTTTATCAATGACAAGCATATGTCCAAGCTTCGGCGACGACGAGAACTGTCCTGTCTGATCCACACTATACTGTGTTGCACTATGAAGATGAGATACAACAGCAACTGATGAGTTGCATAGGGTCTTATACTCATGTTGCAAGCGTGATGCTATCCTCTATGGTAAGTCTTCCTCCACCCCCTCCACTTCCTTTTACAAGATGAACATTCAATTTATCACGACGGTCTACCGAGCTACGGCAATGGTGATAACTGCCTGTGACAGGGCATGAGTCTGATCAACACCCTCAACTTGCACATATTGATTACTTTTGATGCATCAAACGCTAACAATATGTTCAGATCTCAACCCTTTTCCATAAATCCCGTGACTGAAAACGCCTTCCTATGCTCTCGCGATGCCGCTCCAAGCGTCTTCCAATCAATGTCCTGGAATCTTCGTGCGACGCGTCGAGAATTGTCCGTAGTCCACCATGCCAGTAGCTCAGTACAATCCAATCGTAATATCTCCACGAATCCTTGCCGTCAAGTGAATCTCTGCCTCCAAATCTAGCTTGATACCCAGGAGCAACGCCGCATCCTTGGGCTTGCCGTTGTCGTCCACTGGTCCCTTGATGATGTTGCCGGCCGGTCGGTTGAGTGTGGCTGAGGATGGGACAGGGCCAACCTTGGAAGTGGAAGACACCTTACGGCCACCGGAGGCTTGTCCGTCGCTCTCAGTGTCGGAGCCGTAGGCTGTTGGGCGGATGGTGGAGTCGCTGATTGAGGTTAGCACATGTAAAACCCTTCGTACCAGTGTTGCTTACAGGGTAGACATTCTGATGGATGGTTGGATATAACAAGAAGTCGATATTAGGTATTAGGCAAGTGGTTCAAGCTGGTCAGGCGCCGGGCCGTTGCTGGGTATTGGCGATGGTGGATGATGAGGATGAGATGCAGGTCAACTGTACTGGCCTTGATGAAGTGCCATATCTCTGCCTTATAAGCAAAGTCGCCATCAGATACGACAACAGCATATACCATCCACCTTTGCCATGAGTCGATGTCGCGCTGAACGCTCGAAACGGCTGTTGTGGCACTCCTGCGTCTCAAAGTCGCTGCCATCGTCCGAGTCTCGTACCAGCCTCACTACCGAAAGGGAATCAAGGGTCCAGACAAGACGATCAACCGCAGTCGCTTGAATGTTGTGGGGATGTGCTATGCTTGCCGGCGGGGCGGCTGTGACGATGAAACACACAGGGGCTGGTGAAGCTCAGGGCGACCGTCTCAGCTCGGACACTCTTGTTCTCAGTCGAGCGACCATCAGACCACCGGAGTTATCAAGCGATCCCGATTCTATGGAACCACGGTAATGCGCATAGACCCAACCGAATCCCATCCGCAGGCGATGCTGAACATGGTGCATGTCCATGCCAACCTCCACCCGCAAACGCATCCCCACGATGCAGCACACGCAAAATGGTCCTCTCAATCCTCATCGCCACAATCGTAGCCCCCGGCCTCCTCGGCTCGCAAGAAGCGATCCGGCAATCGCAATCCAAAGAGAAGCGCGAAGAACACCGCGCCCGCCGCTGCAACCTCATCGCCACATGCGTCAAGTCCTCACATCGCAGCCGCGAAATTGACGGCCGGCAAGTCGTACTGAGAAACGGGAAGCTCTGGATCGATACCGGGACAGAAGATGGAAGTCCACTGGGTCATCCTTATGCTGGGTATTACTTACCGTACCCGGATACGAGTTACGAAGGGCTTGTTACGACGATTACGGATGTAGCGCCGATCATGAACTGGGTGTATGTTGACAAAGAGACGGGAGAAGCGAAATATGGAGTGAGAGCTGATGCGCAACCGCATCTGACAGGCCCGTTCGATTGCACGCGTCAGGATCGACGGCTCACATTCGATGGCTGGGAGGGGTGGTGTGCAGTTGAACAAGCACCTGGGCTATGGGGCTTGTACTTTGATCTCGATGACGACGGCCTCAAGTCTAGAGTTGCACCTGGTACGAGAGTACTGGAGATCGAACTCAGTCGCAAGGAAAAGAGGTGGAAGAAAGAGGCGGACGAGAGGATGGCGGATCAGACTACTAAGAGGGCTGTTGAGAGGGAGGAGGATGCACCGGTTGAGAAGCCGTTAGGTGGGGAGAAGGTGGAGGTGAGGCCGGGGGTTGGTGCTAGAGTAGGAGAGGGGAAGGAAGAGGATTGGAGGCCGATGAAGATACCGAAGTCTATATTTGAGGATCCGCCGCCCGTGGTGGAGAGTTTGGTCTTTCGGTCAAGGACACCGCCGCCAGCGTATTCGCCTACCGGAGGGGTTGATGAAGAAACCTTAGCTCCGACGAGAGGACAAGATGGAGCATCCGTTGAGATATCTGGCATGGGTCAGGATGACAGCCCATCAGTCATGGAAACTTCCCCGCCTCCTACCGTAATGGAATCGGTGCCAGCCGAAGCCCAGTCAACACTCGTTGAAGACACTGAAAGCCCTTCGCGTGAGGCGAACGTCCCACAGGTTCAATCACCGCCGACACTTATCGATGAGATTCGAAGCACCCCGGAGAAACCAGACTACACATCTTCACCTGACGAGCAATACACATCTCCCGACGAGAAGCGAACTACACCCAAGCTGAACAGAAGCAGCGGCTCACGAGCTCTAGCCCAAGCTCAGAAGTTCGAAGCCATGGCAGCAGCGCAAAAGCCTATTCCTGAGCCTCGACGACGATCGAGTGAACGCGAATCTCGTGCTAATAGCAACACTTCTTCTGTATACTCCAACGAAGATACCTCATTGAGTGTGCCGGGGGTCAGCACAGTGCCCCAAGCTTCACCAACACCGGCCCCTCTAGCACTCGCCGTCTCCAAAGCGAAACAAGCAAAAGCACTGGCGACACGATCACAACCATCGACGACATCAAAGCCGGTATCCGATCCGTCAATACAACGACCAATAACACCTCCCCGCCAACGCGCGCCCTCCATCCGAGAAGACCCAGCCATATCCGCAGCTCGATCCACATCAAACGCCAGACCGGTGATATCTCTACCCCGTCGACCAAATCCGAATAGATCCACTCCCAGCCCAAGCCTAAGTCCTTCATCACGACGATCAACTTCGCAGCAGTCGACACAAAGACTCACGCCCGATCGCCGGCAAAGAGATCGATCCATCTCTGAAGTCTCATCGCCATCCTCTTCCAGAGCCGCTACGTCTCGTTCGTCACCTAGATCATCCACTACGACATCGGGTCGCCAGTCTCTTGCGAGGACTATGACCAGTGGGAAGGGGAACCAGGGGATGAGTAATAGGATTGGAGTGGGTAGGCAAGCTGGTGGTAGTTCTGTGAGTGGGAGGGGTAGGGACAGGGCGGCGACAACGGGTGGAAGGAAGACTACGTCGGCGTTGTTTAGGGAAATTGATGACTTGGTTGGCTTGGAGGACGAGAGTGGGAAGACGAAATAATATAGCGTTGCAACACCATCACGAAGATGAAAGATAAAAATCAATACGATGATTCCATCAAACATCATATTATCTATTTCGAGGGTAAGTAGTGCACGGTTGAGTAATCACGTTCTGTGTTGATGCCCGAAATCGATTAGGCGTCAATGCCACCTCCCATAATTCGCTCAGTGTCGGTAAACCACCTTCTCTCTTCCACAACACTGATTCCCACAACATCCAAAATCCGGAGCTGAACGAACACCACATTCGATCTGATGTTAAACTTTACCGCATACGACGGATCTGCCGGCTAATCCACCCGTTGCATGTCCATGCGGACCGGCAATTGTGAAACTCGACCCACCATCGACCGACTCACCCATCGCAAGTGCGTCAGGTTTCCGACACGTTTTGACAATATGTCGCAAGCGCTAGTGATCACGCGATAACAAGGCGTCATGTAGCGAGAACTGTTTGATGGAGAATATGGTAATGCTAGGTGGTGCGGTGAAGTGATCGCTCCTTGAAAGCTGGGGTAACTACCTAGGCATGCCTAACACTGACTGCTAACGACTGGAACTTGGCTAAGCCCTACATTTCATGTTATCTTTTACTTTCCTGTGGCATTTGGTCCACTTACTTAATCTTGTCGACTAACGCACTCCGTGGCCGTTTCCGTACGGGACTGATCCGCAACTCCTACACGGCTTCTTTCCACTTAACTGAGTACCCACCATGGATGCATCGACAAGGCTATACAAACGCTTGGGAGAGATACCAGAAGACCCGAACGACCCTGAAAGTCTGGACGATCTGATAGTCTGCGCATTCGGCGCCTTTGAGCGATACTACGTTTGCTGGAAGACAAAAGGAGGAGAATTTAGGCAAGGTGCGCATACGTTATCTGATAGATGGGGAAGCTCCATGCTAACAACCAAAAAGATGGCTACGATCTCCCTCCCGCACTCAAAGACTGGCTCTACCCCACCGACGGCACAACACGAGACTTCGCGTCCCTTCAAGTCGTCTTCGGCCGAGGCGAGGAATACTTCGCATCCGACAAGAAAGGCAAGCTGGAGTACAAAGAGCCGGAACTGAAGAAGCCGGCACCTATTGAAGATGACGAGAAGCTTGATAGGCAAGCACTAAGGAGATCGCGAACGGTCTCGTTCTTGCGGCCATTGTCGGAAACGAGCATGCGATCGGATGGTGGAGTGAGCGATACGAATAGAAGCAAGCGGTCGAGTTCAATTAGTTCGCAACGAGCGAGTCGGCCACCGAGTCTAAGTTATACGAATTCGAGGACGAACTCGGATATTTCGCTGTTGGGGGAGACGATTGTTGAGGGGCAAATGAGGCAACCGGGACGGCCTTCGTATATATCGCAGTGGACAGCTCTTAGCTCGGGTGTAGGCGATTCGGAGAAAATGGAGTCGCCGCAAAAGTCAGATCAGAGGACCGGCACCGAGCCAGTGATAGAGCCAGACCGCGAGCCGGTGTCGACGAAGACGATATCTCCAGCACCAGTTGAGAGCACACCATCGCCACCATCATCACAGCCCGCCCTGACCCCGGGACCCACGATACCACAACAGAGTCCTCCACCTCAACCAAGACCCACTTCAGAAAATCCACCATGTACATGCAACTGCCACGCTACACCGAACCCCTCACCACCCTCGCAAAAGCCCACCTACACGACCACCGCAACCCAAACATCACCTCCCCCTACTCCTCTTGCCAGAAAAAATTCATCTTCATCCTATTGGCCATCGCAAGCGAACTACACTGCCATACCTCAAGAGCCTTCCTACTACACGGACGAAGACTACGATACACCACCCGTTTTCATGGGGCGCATGTCGACGTACTTTAGTAAACCGGGGTACCAGTTGGGAGATAGCTTATTCAGTGGGTATCAGCCGATTGATTGGGGGAGTGGGTATGAAGAAGTGGAGGTGGAGGGGGATGGTTAGGGTGAAGAGAAGGCGAGCCGAGCACTTTGTTTAAGGGGAAAACTAAGCACCTATGGGTCTACTATGACGCTACGTCTTCTTGTTTGCTTGTTTGCTATTCTAGTGTATGCAGGCTGCAGGCCTGTTCAGTGTCTTCCTTATATGAGGTGTGAGGAGGGATGAAGTGGTTCAGTGTGTGTTGTGTATAATATTGACTTTTCCCCCACTAATATAGTATTGATATCCGACAGTTGAATTCTCGAAGGTCATTCGGAAACACCTTCCATTGTCAATTGCTTCCACAACCTTCATTCGATGTCCGCCGTTGCCTCACGGGAATACGTATCGCTGTCCTCAGAGGCGCATCTTCACTTCTTCTGATCGATCATCTTCACGACACTCATCATCTAAATCATTCTCCTTTTCTTTTTCTACACACACGCGCAGACTAAGTACACCACACCGCCAGTAAAACCGCTTTCAATGCATCGATACTCGACCAAGACCAAGCGTACACCCCTTTGTTTGCGCCATGCAGCTTACTTTTCCAGCATCGACACCGCCAGTCCCATCCATGCGACACCTACACGCGGTAAACGCGCCACCAATCCCGCCGTGCAACGTGCAACCAAAAGAAAGCTTGACCGTCACATTCCAACGATCGACTCGACAGCTGCATGCAGGGTGAAGCGGAAATTCTCCGCCGTGCATGTGATTGATGACTTACATCCGAACCTTGCACCTCAGCATCGGAACACCTCAGCACCGGAGCATAACGTTGAACTAGTGTTCACAGCATATCCGGGGACTTGCTTACCGACAGCTGATCCCCATGTCTACGCTCGGAAATGAGACGGTTATTAGCAACCGACCTCGTGGGCGATGACGTCGTGTCTCGTGTTACCTGACCTTCCATCGCGAACTACCCTTACCTGGGTACTGTACGCGAAACGCAGCAATGACAGCTGCCCGGGCATGTTCCGCCTCATTCTTCTTCTCACCACTAAACTCCCCTCGATCCACAGCGCAATAGATACTGTAAAAGCAGATGATTCCGCACCCCCACAACCCCCACAATACAGACACGCGCGAACTCCAACTCGCAAAAAAACTGAATCATTGTCGGCGTTGGCGATCGCGATATCCAACTGGCTGTATTACCCAAAGGGGAAAAAGTCGGTGGAACGGTGGAACTTCGTTGTCTCTTCGCTTGCCTCTGCCTCGGTTCGAAGAACGCGAAGGACAAACACGAGACGTTGACATCATTTTGAACGGGTGTCAGAGAGTCCCCAGGGTCAAGGACAAGGGCAGTTTTTCAGGGTCCTGCCGAAAGGTCCGATAGCGAGCGTGTGCGACAGGTGCGACAGCAGACAGTACCGACGGCCGATGCCGAAGGTAGGGGATTCAGGGATCGACGATCTTGCCTTGTCTGAAGGAAGGGTCCCTGAGGTCGACTGACGTACGTCTGGATTGATCTGAGAACCACCAGAACCTTCAAGATGGTGTTCCAACAGAGCGCGCTCGTCTTCTGACATTCTGGACGGGGTTGCTTAGCGCCAATGAGCTGCTGTTCTTCCACCAGACCCCGCAAAGTCCACGCAGTCTGCGAACGCCCGAAAACCCGCGGGAAATCAGTATCATGATGCAAGCGATGCGACGCATGGCGTCTAGACGTGCCATACAACCTTCACATATCGCTATGCCGCGACTCTCGAGAAGGAAGTTCAGTTCGCTAGGCGGGATTGTCCGCGGCTACATATGCGAAAGTCTATAGATGCATTGCATGCGTGCGTGATTTTCGCTATTGGAAGGCTTCGTCACGAAGGCGGAAGAGAGGATACTGCTGTTGCGGCTGCAAGTTCGCGATGAGTGATTATCACGAAAGCTCGGTTCGAGCAAACATTGTTGATAAGCTGAGCTACCTCTCCATCCTCATGGACAATTGCTACAATACCTTCCATTCTTTAGTATCTGTTGGGATGGTAAAAACGGCAGACTAGCACTATCGTGAGGAAGTATGCACCCGCCCCCATTACGAAAACGAGTGAGCACACCCAGCTTACCCGCATCTGGTTCGCCAGAACGCCCACTGCACACCTCCCACTCTGGCGGTTCGTAAAGAAGCGTAAAAGGGAGGCTGTGCACTGGGCATTGGCATGCACAACACACACAAACAGCGGTTCTTTGTTTGTGCTGTGCAGCGGGCGCCGGATTGTGAACGCATCCGCAAGCACCAGGCTCGTAAGTGGGATGACATGCTCGTGGTCATGCTGCTGATTTAGCTTTCCTGACGGTGCAGTGCGATGCGCCTAGCTAATTGACTGACTTTGCCGCGCTTTGCTGAGCCGGCTCTGGAGCTACGACAAGGTGTGTTGCGACTGACATCGGTGTTTAGCCTTGATACCTAGGTAGCCTGGATGCCACCGAGGCCGTCCCGGCACATGCTCTTGTGCAGTGCGCCGCATTGCGAGTGATCACGTCGATTCAATCGCTGCCGCCGCGAGCGCTGGCGTAGCGCTCTCGTCGCGCATCCCGTGAGACGACGTAGTGGTGTTACATCTGTCGCCGATCATCCACGCATCTCATCGTCCTTTGGTGCAGGACGACCCCAACGTGGGATCTTGACAGAGCATGCGCGTCCAAAAGGTTAATCACGGTTTTGCTGGGAGATAGCCTATCCCTGTCGACCGATCAGAGGAAACTTGGAAGGTCAGCGAAAATCTCTGCGCTCCACGCTTCGCATGCAGGGCGTCTCATCTGGCCGCTTGAGGGATACGTCGTGTGGGCGAGGCGGGAACCCTGAAAAAATTGGATTGGCAGAGACGCTAATTGGTGGAGGAGGATAACACGAACCTTGCGGCCGTGCGGCACGCCCTGATGCGACTCAAGGACGTCACTCGACGAGGCTTGAGGGGTCCGTTGAGATGCCTCAATTGACAATGCGTGTTCACGATGAGAAGCAGATGGAGACGTAGGATTGTTTTTACTTTCTTATTTCATTGTGGGCCAGACGTCAGAACGCCAAAGGCTCCGTCTATACTTTTGCGAAACCCCCACGGGCAAACCGCCCAAGCATTGAAATCACCACCCAAATCCATCCCATTGTATATACGTATGCTTGCTTGTTCAACACTCAAATGCAACAAACAGTGATGGCGGCGATCTATGTAGAACGGCCTCAAACGCACATCAAGCGAATGGTTCGGGCCAGGTCATAAAATATACACAGGCGACCGATAGTCAAAAGGGTAGTCATGAAGACTAAAAGAAGATATGAATAGAGATCGCCTAGGCGTTGGTATCATCGCGCACCAGCAGCGTCATCAATCATGGCGTCATCAAAAGCGACAGTAGCTGCGAGAGCTGGCTGTCCCTTCGCAGGCGTCTAAAACCAACCACTGTTGGTATAAGATAGATCAAAGTTGTTCATCGCGTTGAAAGCACCATTGGTCTGATCTATAGGCCATGGGTCCATGGGAACAACATCTTCGAAATTGCTAGGCATCGAGAGGGCGGCTGTGTCGGCAAAGTCAGGCGAGGCGGTACTCGTCATAGTTGCTGGCGCAGCAGTCATGCTCTTGGCGTAAATAGGATCGAAGCCAAGCATGTTCGGCATGGGTGCCGTAGTGGCCATAGGCATGGGCGCGTTGACGGATTCACTCGGTACGGCAGTGCTAAAGCGATACGCGGGGGTATCTTCCCAGAAGAGCGACTCGCTGGCAGCCGACTGAGGGGTTTTGAAGTCCAAGTCACCGAAGAGGGCTGGCTCTCCAATTTCCGAGTGTGCAGACGACGCTACAGTAAGGCCGGGACCGCTGAGTTTGGACTCTCCGCTGTGTGAGATCGGCTGCGTCAAGTCATCGTTGAACTTGCTAGGGTCCAGCGGGAGATCAGTAGCAGACCAGACGTGGTCGAACCCAGCAGATGCTGTCAACCAGTCGCTATCCATGTTTGGGAGGCAATCTTGCGATGGCGAAGTGGACAGGCTGCCCAGACCGAACGTACTGTTCACAGGTGTTACACTGTTTGCTATCCATGGCCACTGATTCGAGAACGTGTCGCTGACGTTGCTGTTGGGAGACTCGCCGTCTTGTTGAAAGACGCCGGGCTGGCTGCTGAACATCTCGTTGAAACCGAATGTGTCGAGGCTACCGCCGACGTTGGGAGTCGGCGACTTGTCGGCACAGCGCTGTGTAGAGCCGAACATGGTGTGGAAGTCGTTGTTCGATAACGAGAGCGTATCCATGGAGCGGGTAGCGGGCGGTTCAGGCTTGCTGCGAGTACTCTTCTCTTGCGAGAGAGCGGAGAAGGCGGCATGGCCGTGTAGCGTAT